AGAAGTAACCATGCTCTATGATCCTGTCAACCTCGTATCCGCCATCCATGTCTGGTGGAATCATAGAGGGTCTGTGTGGAAACTCAATTCCTTCTACGTAAGGCAACAATTTGGACACATGAAAGACAGGATATGTTTTGAGATGAGGGGGGGATCAACTCGATAAGACGATCCCTCTGCATCTCCAATTACCTTGAGAACTTCCCAGGGTCCAAAATAGATAGGTAGCAATTTATGGGAGACATCTTCTTCTAGTGAAAACTCTTTAGATTTTACCCAAACCAAATCACCCTCTTTGAATGTAGACGGTCGACGGTGCCTATTGGCTTGTTCAATCATTTGTAGTTGAGTATTATCTTTAACTTTCTGAATGTCCTCCTGAAACAAGAGTGCATATGCTCGGGTCCCTGGGGGCAACCTAAGAAACTGGTCCCGGTTTAGTACGTCAATGGGACGTTTAGGCTTCCACACTTTGTGCAGTGCATTCGAGGTTCGTCCAGTGGAAGTATGAACACTATTATTATATGCACTCGCAATTTTGGGTAAGTTCTCATCCCAATCAATCTGATCGGGTGTAATATACATACGCAAAAGATGCTGGCACAAACGGTTCATCTATTCAGTCTGGCCATTCGTTTCGGGATGCCTATAACATGAAATACAAAAGGGACAATTTGTGGTTGTCATCAACACTGTTGCCATGTGATCTTCCAGACGAAGCGGCCTCTGCTACTGTAACTTCCCCCTGTTCAGTAGGGACGTGGACGCAATGGGCTTCTTAGAAGGGATCTTCTTCGGCATGTACTCAACAGGTCTTAGTTTGTTCCCCTCTTCTTCCTCCAACATCACCTATCCCATACTGGCTTGCGTCAATAGTCAAAACGAAAAGCTTATGAGAGCAGTGACTGTCTTCAATTGCTTCAAGCTTCTCACGCTCTGTACTCCATTTCAATGTTTTGGTGCCAAGTGTCGCCAGTCAATTAGCATGTTATTCTGAACGGATCGCTGATAGCATCCTACCTGTCTCAGGACAGATCTTACCCCAGAGACATTCTGAGGTCTACGCTAAACCCTTATTGACACAACTTTCGTGTCGTCCGACCTCAGTCCATACATTCACATCTCATGACGCTTAGCATAGGGTCTTCACACATGGTTAACAGGGGATGTTATTTTCGGCCCTCCGTTAACTGTGTGTCAGGGTCTTATTACAACCAAAGACACTTTTGGAGGGACTGATCTCGTACTGGTGGCGTCTAAGCAGTCTGAGCACAGTCCTTAAGTACCCGACATGCTCTTTTAGACTCCCTTTTTTCTTTTATCCTCAACTCATCTCCCTTCTCAGGCACGAACAACACAGGTGACTTGTACGGTGAGGTGCTTGGTCTAGTCCAACCCTTCGCTGTGATTCCTCAGGTTGTTTGCAAAGCTCATTAAGCTCCAAAGGAGACATCCAATAGACCCTTCACTGTGGGACTTCGACCCCCAGGATTGTATCTAGGGCACGCAATAGACCCTTACTTACAACTGATACAGCTTCTCCTCAAAGGTCTGCAAACTTGGGGACAACTTCCTCTATTCCTTTATGAACCCTCATGCACTCCCCTCTTTAAGACACGGATACAGGCTACATGCCTTCTTTTGGTTTTGCTTCAAATACTTGTACAATCGGCTCACAAACAAGCCTCCGCCGCGAGAAAGAGCCAACTACATCCTTAATGTAGTGCCTAGTTGTGACTTCGCTATTAACTACGTCCTTAATGTAGTGCGCGGTTGTGACTTCACTATTGTTAGCCAATGTTGTTACACTTGGTTTATTCAACTCCTGCAGATATAGCTTTTCTTCCCAAGCAGCAGGACAGAAGGGTTGGGCGTCGGTGTCTTCTTCTCACTCAGCATGCATGAAAACAGATGGCAATCACACTGGCAACGAGCGCCCACACAAAGCTCAGAGATAAAGTGGCCAAGAACACAGTTCAGATTCAACTTGCTTTGAATGGCTACGGCGCCTGTGCGCCCTAACAACACCCTTCCTCGCTCAGCCAGTATCCTCAGCAACTGTTCACATGCACGCTACTCTGGATCTCCCTGGATGTCCCACACACGCACATAACTCACTGCACACTCATACACAAACACGCTGTAGCCTATCTCTAATGTAGCGCAGCTATGGCTGTTGGCTAACTCTACCACTAACTAGTGGCTATGGCTGCTTCGTCTCCCTCTCAGCCCACTTCTTCCATGGGCACCTGCAGAGCGCCTTGCACAAGTCGCTCAGTGTTCCATACTGTAAAGGTGCAGAGTCTGCAGACCAGAACAAGAACCGACCCCTCATACAAAGTACAAGATAGCGTAGCGGAAGACTTAGATACCAATGATCCGAACAATCAATATTGCAATGCAGCCCCAACATACATCATCATCGTTCCATGGTGTGAAGGGGTCTGGCGCTCACACAGGAAGAATGCGCCAGTCCCCACCATACACAAACGAAGAGGAGGGGGGTTAGACGAAGAAGAGGGAAAGATGGGAATGTCGTCAACACCAAGTCTGTGATACAGGTCCCAAATAACCCCCGTCCAATGTCTGAATCCCAATGTCGAGTCT